TAACTTAACAAATTAAACATCGCTCCTACATTACAAACATCTTATTTATTTACTTTTATTTCATTTCAAATGTAGGCTCAAGCAGTGCTTCATAATGGCAGAATCCCACCTATCAGCAAGTGTATTCAGGATGCTGTTGGTTCGATTCAGTAATGAAGCGGACCTTTTACGTATAATGGCATGAAAGCCAACCATGTGCGCCTCAGCGAACATGGCAGAGGCACGATAATAACGCGGCAATCCTAACAGTACCCTGAACGCATTATTGTATTGTACACGCATGGTATGTCTGCTGTGTGTATCTAACCCACAAGTTGATGTGTAAACGCACGACAAAAGCTTAAATTATTAACACCAACAGCCAACGCCCTGCATTCCCTTTCTATATCCAAGTCATCCTCTAAGTCCTCCGTTACCCAGTGGCCTAGGTACTTAAATTTGACGACTCTGTTCAAAGGTCTATCACAGAGTTTAACAGTAGGCATGGTGAGCTGCCTTTTAGTGCCTGAATTAAAAACCTTGAGTTTGCTCTTCGTTATATTGTACTTGAGCCCATGCGTCTCTGCATAGGATTCACAGATCCCTAGCTCAGCTGCACCATGTCATCTACATAGCTTGTTTATTTAATTATATTTAATTTAATTTAATTAAGCTTTTACTCATAAAATTATAACTAAAATCCTCAAAAATATTATGAAACTGAGAAACCCCAAGTCAATTTAGGATTTCAAACAACATACAAAATACAGATGGTGTCATATTCAAAGATTTATTGTTATTTTATTTGGGGGTACTTGTTTACTTTGTTAACTAATAAGTAAATTGAATGTAGGTAATTTAATATTCACTTATGAAGTTTTTGTTTTTTGTCATACTACCGAGCTTACTACATTACATTATTCAACCTCTGTGTTTTATTCTATATTCTGAACATATTAGATGGGTTGTTACAGTATTGGGTAGTTGACCATTACCCTTTGTTAAGAAAATGCTACATACTAGAAATAGAATTTCTTGCTTTTGATATATAGTATATTACAATGTGGTCAGTTACAAAACTCTCTTACTTATACATTTTTAAATATTAGACATATATTTGCACCCATATTATTTATATTATACTAGCCGGTATCTACTATACACTATGTTACTGCCGCCAAAAAAGTATAAGTGGATATATAGTTTTAAATTTGGAAGAATTCTATAATTTAATTAAGAACTTTCAAATAAATTTGTCAGTCCGATACACACACCACCTAGTGTTAGTTAATTGTACTATACCTATATGCATAACCTTTATGCAAGTTCAAGCAACAATCTGCTGAATGGTATGGCAGCACATAAATTACAAACCAACTCACCAACCAACAACCAAAAGTTAGATAAATTTAATAATATTTCAAGATATGTCATTTAATATATTGCACATGTCACACTCAATTCACTGGCTTGAACATTTTAGTTTTGCCACCAAAAAAAAGGAAATTAAAAATGTTTAAAACTCGATCTGCCATTAAAATAATACAGTCTACAGCAATAAATGAAAACAAAATAGGTAGTTAATAGTTTATTATTAGCCGTTCACAATGGTCATCTTTGACGGTTTTAACATTAGAAACACATTATTTGGATCATGAGAGCCTAAACCTATGAATTATCTTCCACCTGGAAATAAAAAGAAAACATTGTTATTAACCACTCTTTAGAATAAAATGGTGTCATAAGTTTAAAAAACAATATCATAACCTGAATTTATACTAAAACTACAAGCTGTATGTGAGGGTTTTCACGCGGTTTTTAGAGAAGAGGAATTTACAAATTTCAGATTCTAAGCCAATACTTTTTATTGAGTAGGCTTCTTTAACTCTCTCATGAACGTCAAAACAAAATGTTCCATTATTATTCGTAAAACGAAATCCAAATTATAAAAGAGCCCCAATTAAAATGATTTTCCAGAATTACAATATATTTAGCAAAATTTGTGTAGACGACTGACGCTAAAGTAGTTTACTTCGGCAGTTTCCATAAAATTATATATAGCTAAGGTATTGAGTACATCAAAGAAAAGGAAGCGAATAACCTTGTTATTAAGATTTATCTTCTAAAAGGAAACACCATATTTTCTTTGCAAATATCAAAAACTTATTACCATTTATCTCAATCTTCTGGCTTCACGTTCAGATTCCAGAAGGGTTAGAACATCATCTTCGCGAACTGGTCCTTTCACGTTCCTGATGATCTGGCGACTGTTCTCTCCAACGATTTCAACTTTGACCTGGGTACATTGACCCTGGGAACCAGTACGGCCTAAAACCTTGACTACACGAGCGTAAACGTTGGGCTTGTCCATTTTCTTTTAATTTACTGGCGAAATTTATAGATACACGTGCAACGCAAACAGCGTGTACGATGAAAGGAAAGAATAATGTCACAGACAATAAAAATGAAACTTCAAATGTAATAGAGTTCTGTTTTTTATTTATTTATTTCTGCGTTGGCTATAAGGCCTTCAGCCAAAAAGAACTTAATAAATGTCGTATTCATTTAATAAAACATAAATAAGTACGTATGTGTATTATTATTAGTTAGTATTAACAAATTACTTCAAATTAAAATTTCTTGAGTAGTGTTGCGGTACGTACCTGTCGTTCCTTTTATTTTATTCAGTGACAGGCGTATATATTTATGTTGAGATATTAAAACGCGAACCCGTTAACCGTACTTAACCAGCACTTAATAATTCGCTCAAGCTTACAGGTTTTACACAATTCACATATGTAACAACATATATGGCCGCAGTGCGTAATACGTCCTTCATCCTAACATTATAGGCATAGTAAAAACAGAGTAGTAGGATACTCCCGCGCCGCGAGACTGAGTTGAGTCGAGCATGAGTTAAATGCCTACTGTTGCAGAGTTACCACTGTCGTTTTGTTTAACAGCTAAGTCTCGTTTAGTTTTATAAGTAGTTATAATTTACAAACATAATACATACGGATACGCACCTAGGCATCAAATTTGTTTAGTTTCCTCTCAAAGAATCAATGTTTGTCAAAAAATTCCAGCTTTAAATTACAACAAATGCCAAATAACTAAAATACAGGTAAATTAACACTGAGCATATAGTGTAAGCTCAGATTTAATGTTTAAAATTAATTTGATGTGATATAATTAATGTACTTATGGGGTATGTATTTATGTATAAATATAGTAATATAACATATTAATAAGAAGCTAATTTACTTAAACAAACTCATATATTATTTTATTTTACAAAAAGAAAATAAGACTCCTAGCAAAATTTTATTAAAAGCAAACATACTCTTAAACAAACGCGATTGCGTAGCGCGATAGTGACCGTCCCCGACTCGGCAAGACCTTTCCGACTTAGCATGTATCGTTGTGTGCGTGCTGTGCTCGTGCGTACGAGACCATACTGTCACGTGCCAGGCTGGCACGTGACAGTATGGGTTCTCTCTTAGAGATAGCCTACTATTCTGTTTTTACTATGTTGTAGGAGAGGAATAGAATTGAAAAGGGGGTAGACTAGGTGGGGGGGAAGAAGTATGCGATCACCCGTATGTATGCAAAGTGCTATGTTTTACTGTACAAACTCCACCCTAAGCATGAAATGTTTACCATATACTTATATACTAGATGACCTTTTTATCGTCGGAAAAAATAGGGTGTAACATGTGAACGGAGTAGAAGCCTATGGCACTGTTACTTTACAATAAATAAAAGCAAAAATTTAAATTAAACGTTTGAAATTCTTTTTTGGACAATTGCTTAGCCTGTGACCCTGCGAAGTGACAAGGTCAAAGATGCCTACTAAATTTGTTGTTTTATTGCCGTTCGTAAAGTAGGGTGGATATGATTTCGAGGCTTCTACTCCGTTCACATGTTACACCCTATTTTTTTCCAGACGATAAAAACGGTCACCAGTATATATATTTCTGATAACGGTAAGATGACCTTTCTGCTGCAAGCTCCTCCCAACACGGGCCGTCGATAGCGCGAAAATCTCAATAGCCCTTTTTAAATTTAGAATGCGAGGTAAAAAAAAATTAAAAAGCACTATTATTATGATGAAATGCATAAAAAAATTCTTTAGCTATTCCGCTGCTAGATTTTAAACACTACATACCTACCAAATAACGAAAAAAAATCTGGGGCTTATTAGTGACTAATACTAAAACTAATATTAATCCTAAAACATTATTCTACCGCGTTTTTGGCTAAAATTGTGCAGAACAAGAAAAACAAAACCTTTACAAAAGGAAGCAGATTCTTAAGAACTAGTCCTAGTAACCTCAAGATTTTAAAATTTGGGGACAATAGAAAAATTAAAAACATTGAAAGTATTCCACACTATGACACCTCATAATTTTTAATGAATACCATATACGAAATTAGAAAAAAATTGTATTCCTTGTTCACATAGGAAACACATAAAAAATATTTGTTTAATGCCTAATTCGGAAAAATATGCTCTCTAGATCATGTATGTTTTGAAACTGCGACTTATTAGGACCAACAGATAACATGTATATTAGCAAGACCGTAAAACAATAATTAATATATTTATATTAATTATTGTTTTACGGTCTTGCTAATATACATGTTATACAATAATTAATATATAATATAGGTAAATAAAAAAAATGAATTAAAAATTTAACATTTTAATTAAATAATGTCTTCTCGTTATCTCGAAAGTTATTAAAAAGCTGTGTCCACACTATTTGTTCCATAATTTACTCTCACAACACTTAGCAACTAAACAGCACACAGTATGTACACTCAGAACAAAACTAAAATAAGATTAGGTCTGGAAGACGGCAATATAATTGCAATTTTTTTAATGAAGAAATCTTGCGTGTTTGAATTTTTTACAACAGCCTATTCTTATTTTAATCATATTGCAGTCACACCCAGCATGTTGCAGAGCCTGTACAAGGCAACGTTTGGTGTTCTCTAATTATTAACTTATATAGTAATTAATCATCCCCAGCTGATCTCTTTGCTTTCCTCATGCGAGGTGATTGTTTCGGCGTTTTCGGCGATTTTTCTGGAACAAAAATAATAATAATATTAATAATAAACTAACACTTAAAAACTTGCAGTTATCAACAGGACCAACGCTAAGCTTGGGATGATATGACAAAATTGTTATTTTTTAAATTTTACATAATTTGTCTGCTTAAGATTTTGTCGAAAATATTCAAAATAAACACAATAAACAAGACAGTACAAAAATCGTTCTTTTCGTTTGTCAATTGTATTACTCTTTAGAAATGAGGTTATGAAGAAAAATGTTAGGGCTGAATTTGAATAATAGGGTGAGAAATTGTGTGTGTGATAAAAGAAAAGTGTGGTTTGCAAATTCTTGTGACAGGATTAAGAAAGGAATGCTTCTGCACATGTAGAAAGAATGAATGAGGAAAGAGTGACAAAGCAAATTTATGCTGCAGAAGTGAGTGGCAGTCTCCAAGGGAGACTCTAGGTGGAAGTTTATCAACCAAATTGTCAATATTTTGAAGGTGGGTCATATTATGAGTACTCTTAACTGATTTACATGTGTGTAATGTATGTAATGTAGGTATATCGATGTAAAAGAAGCAAGAGAGATGTGTCAAGATTGTGCCAAATGGAAATGTGTAGTTTCTGCCTACTCCTCTGGGTAACAATCATGAGTTTGTTTTATTTGTTATGATTACCAAATTATAGCAAATTTTGTACACTTACTTAGCTGATTAACAACTTCTTTAGGCAGCCAATCATAGTCCACATCATTAGCAGTGCCAGTTTCAAGTGGCTTCGGTGCGGCACGGGGGGATCGCCGACGAGCAAGCGATGAGAGTGCTTGCTGACCCAGCACCAAGATCAAAACGCAGGCAGCACCAAGGAACACATACAAGAAGAATGTCTCTCCATCCAAACCTTCTGATACCTCAACAACATTGATGGTCTGATTATACACAGCCTCCTGTTGAATAAAAAAAATGTTACAATATATCTGTGTACATAAAAAATAACTGTCGCAAGTCTCGCAAAAATAAGAAAATTGCTTGACTGATTTTGATGACACTTTTTGTGTTTAAGTGGATCCTAGGATGGCTTAGATTCACATTGGACCTACTAGGTGTGGTTGTTGTAGAGATCTAGAAATCACCTGTACAAAATCTGCTTTCCGTTGGTGTAGGATGACCTTCGCATCGGACTATGAGAGTGAGGGAATAGAGAGTGCACCTGTGCTTGTGCACGTGGGTACTATAATCCTGTTCTGGGCAGATGGCTAGTCTCTGTTGACTGATTGAAATTGGTCTGCAGTCTATTATTATTCAGCAGTTAATTATTAGGGGAAAAGACAACAACAAAGACCTAAAATCATTTGCAAACAACATGGTTAACAGTCCATAAGTGTGTAAGTATATATAGTTTTAGTGTCACTTGTCTTTTTTGCTATTCTGAGGGGGTAAAATGGAAAAAAATATATAGAACTTAAAAAAAAAAAATAAAATTAAAAAATCCAGCATCTCCCATAACATATCAAAAAAATGAGTAATATATTTAATCATTTCAAATTCAAAAATAATTAAAATACATATTAAAATCTAGTACATTACAACATTCCTTCTGTAAAAGTGAGACTACACCATTTAACTGCTTAAACTACTGCTTATTATTATTATAATTTATTATTTCAAGTAAAGAATAAGTTTTAACATAAGTAATAAAATACAATATAATGAAAAACTAATAAATTTGTGTGTTTATTATCAATATGTTTTTCCCAAAGCTGGAAGTGCTTTAGTGAGTGTCATATTGCCAAAACCATTTCACGAACAGTTTGTTTATAAGAATTGGATATAAGTTAAAACAAAAAGAACAGAAAAATTATTTCACTGGAAATCAACCGGTTGTTACAACCTTCCAGCAAAACAATTTGACGCAGAATGGACGTTTATCATATTATTGGAAAATTTGTATTATTGATAGCCTCATGTTTCAAACCGTTTTTTGTCAGAAAAGAAGCCTGCAAAATTTGACATTTTGTTGTCAAATTCCATTTAAGTTCACATATTCAACACCCATTAAATGTTACCTTTTTACTAACCTTAATAAATAGAAAGAAAGAAAGATTTATTGCAGCACGCCACAAACATCAGTAGGCACTTAAATTTTGACACATCAATTATAAACATTATAACAAACAAAAACAAAAATAGGAAACAAAACAACAATTTGACGGATAAAACAATTTAAAAGTATGTATACTTATAGATTATAATTTGAAAAAAAAAATAGAAAGACAAAAAAAATCGTTTCTCATATTGTACGAGTATGTTGTGGCGCGTCATACAAACGGACCTCACTCAGCTTATGCTGTCGCCGGAGCAACAGCGCTGGTTTTCAGTGGGCCCGAACGGATAGTAACGTATGGATGTCCGCGAGTGATACATAATAATATTCTAAAACCAATCTGTCAAACTATGCTGAAATCATTGATGTATTGACGTACATGTGCTTATTATACATGCACTTTATTTTTAAATACCCCTTTTGCTAACGTATGCTAAATAATATGCTTGCAAAATGTCTAAGAATTAATAATATATAATATGAATACTAATAACATAAAATTATAACCGATATAATTCACAATATAGGTGTGCTTAGTATAATTCCTGTATTTTATTTAAATCTATTGTATTTAAATGTAATTGGTAACTAATGTGGGATTTATTTCCTTTTTTGATATCTCAACTTCTTAGGGTATGAACAAAATTGTCTCTAAAACTAGTAAACAAAATACACTTCAACGGTTCACTTATTTTTGGTAATATCCCTTTGTATTTCTAAACCTTGACTCTGGCAGAGTATCATCAGTTAAATGATGGAGTCAATTTTTTTTGAAATAAGAAGTTTATATATTTTCCACGGGATTTCTTACTTGTAACCAGACTAGTTTAAAGCTAAGATTAATAATAACTCTCTACTTTTTGTAATAAAACGGAGTATGTTCAAAATCAAATAATATTGCTAGCTTGCCTCCGGAGGCCCCGTAACATTTTAATTGAACCCCCAGTTCTGCTACATTCTGACGACACAAATGTCGTCGGTTTGTCAAACATAGACACTATACATTCACCTAGTGCCACAAAAACTGATAGGGCAACGGATGGGACACAGCGAGTCCGCAGACGGGCGCACCGCACACCGCTGCACACCGTACACCCGCATCCCTGGGCGGTTCTTACTGCCCAGAACATCAAACAACACAAGTTATCCATCAGAGCCCTAACCTGCTTGTTTGGACGGCCTTTAGATAACCCCATTACATGCACTTTAAACTGATGTAGGCGAACATCGTTACGCAAGTAACGTAGTAGATGCAGTTCGGCAATCCTTTTTTAATTTTAAGCTCTGAGACCAATGAAGCTCTAAGAGCCACAAAGGCTAACAGCACCAACATCATCGAAATCAGAGGCAGCTAGCTTTTTATGATTATTGGGTCAAGAGTGAATTAATGACAAATAAAAACATAATTCCTTAGAGGGCAGGGCATTTGTATGGCTTGCAAATAATTGCTCAATGTTTGGATGTTCAATTTCATCAAGATCCATGTGCAATTTATGTATGTGAAACGCCTTCAGATGACATTGGAAAATGCTAGCCAAAAAGTCTTACATATTCCTAATAGCGGTGTAAGAATATCAACTACCCTATATCGTCCCATGGGTGTCATAAGAACTGATAGATGGAAACAAACCAAGATAGGCAGCAGCACTTTTCGAATAACTAAAAATTAAGAAGCTGCAGTTGCCAACCCGCCTGCCATGCATGCCAACTATGACAAATGTCCTTTTTATGAGGCAATCTATGGAGGAGGCCTATGTTCAGCAGTGGAAGTTGATAGGCTATAACAGTAATTTGTTTTTTTGCAGATACACATCTAAAATTAAGGTGCAAACTGTAAAAGTATTATATTTGAGATCTTTTAAGTACCAACCTGATAATAATTGCCACTAGCGTCTCTGTAGTTAAGTTGAATGTTCAATCCGAAAGGCCGTCCAGCAAAAGCTTCATTAGGTGTGAAAATGTATGCAAAAGTAGCCTCTTGTTTAGGTTTTACCTCTCGGTTGTATGGCAATCTCGTAAAGTTCTGAATATAATATGTATAATCCATGGGGTATCTGAAGGATGCCTCCATTGTTTCAACAACATAGTCCTCGTTCCCTTTGTTGCTGAATCCAACGAGGAATTCAACTGGGTAGCCAGCTTGCAGATCTGTTAATAATAGAAAAATTGGTTGATGGTAGATGACAGATACATGGTAAAATAGGTGAAGTTACAGCTTATATGTATTCATACCACTGTTAAATAGGCCAAATAAATTAGGTAGCTTAGGTATAAGCCTATTCTCATTTCTGAGAGCTATGGAGCAATTTACCCACCATATTCCTCCAGTATGTGTTGGCAGACTTCACATAATACCAACGTAAAATAGCAGCTTAATACTGCTGTATTTCATATGTGAGTGTTGAGATCCAGAGAACCTTTTTTACTAGAAATGAGGCATTCCATCTTAGTCCTCAAGGGTGACAACGCATCTGCGTTTTGATTCCTAATCAAGGATAGCAACTAAGGCTGCTGTATTTCGTATGGTTGGTGTAGAGAACCGGAGACCCTATTTACTAGAAAGGAGGCATTCCATCTTCCTGATGGGTGACAACGCATCTGCGTTATGATTCGTAATCGAGGATGAATGTAGATGTCTATGGGCCACAGTATCCACTTACCATCAGGTGGACTGTGTGCTTTTTTGTCACTCTTATTCTATTAAAATATATTTTTTTATTCTTCAGATGTGTAGGCATCCTCACTGTTTTCCTTTCCCACCAAATATATGGTAGTTCGGCACTAATATTGCAAATAACAATTATTTTTTTGAAATAAAAATGAATATAGTTGTACTGTTAAAATATCTAATGTTAATCAACACTATTGAGCTTGCTTGTGCTAGTGATTGACTGCAGTAGACAAATCACAGATAAAAACCCAAGACTTGAGTTTTTTGGTCTGTATTCTAAACCATTAGTCTACTGTCTCTTTTTCTAATTAAATTGGTGCCAGTAGGGATCAAGTCAGTAATGATTTTGTATAGTAAAATTTACAGCAAGCACTTAGTGCTTCATAGCTCAATTAACACATAATTAAATTAGGTATTAATTATCTTTATACCTTTCTCTTTCTATTGTCATTTAATGAAACAAAGCAACTGAAATGATTTCATAAATGTGGCATCAATTTGTTTGAGTAAGGCTTTAAGATATATAATTTAATGAATCATGCTAAGATTATTGTTCTTTTTTTGTAATAATTTACACTTGTAGTGTAACATCTAGTGAAAAATCAAAGTGTGATAATTGAATGACCATAATATGTAAGACTTGTGAGTAGTAAGGGTAAACTGTAAGTCTAAACAATTATTGAATATAAAATAATTAAATCATCATCTTACCAAATGCATTATCTCCATAATTAGTTATAGGTTTAGTGAATAATATGGTTGTATCTACATCTTGTGAGGATTTCACTACAGAGTCATCATCATCTCCAAGCGCATCATCACCAACAACCTGGCTGTCTTCACCTTCAATATCTACCACATCATCAAGCTCATCTTCTTCAGCACGAGCTAGAATGGTGTTAGCTGAAATAAATGTATACTGTATAATGTAGAAAAAGTAGTACTCCCTTTGATATTTACCAATTTCATGAAATAAGTCTAATTAAGTAATTATTAAGGAAATTAAATATTCTAATTTGTATTAAAAATAACATAATGTATTATAGTAAGAATTAAAGTATTGAGTAAGATAGGGTATCTAGGTTACTATATAAATATCCCAAATGTTTTAGAAATCTACTTATTTAAAGAGACTGTCGATGTCTTCTTGAGTAATTAAGTATTGTGATAACTTCTTTATAAATACTTTCACTCATAAATAAGTAAGTTTGCCACGTACATACGTTGAAGAACTTTCTCATAAAATATAGTCCATAAAATTAAAAACTTACCGCTTTGGAAGCACAGTAAAGCTGCAGGTAAAATTAAGAAAGTTAAATATAATAATTTCATTTTTAACTGTAGTTCTGTTCTTTTGTGTTAACAAAATAATAACTAAATGTTCAGTGTAGACTTAAAGGCCATTCACTTTGTAATATGTAACAACTCCGCTGCTATACTTCCAAACCAATGCCAATTTTCTTTCCAACTCGATTGACGTGGAAGGTACTATCTGTCAATAGTGCTACCAAAAACCGGTAAAATTGTAACGGTTTTTAATATAAAATTAACAAATTATTGAATAATAGGTACCCTCTATCTCTATTATCTAGATGTTAGTGCTGTTAGTCTATGCGACTCTTACAGGTTCATCTTGTTCAGCTCAGGGCTCGCGGCCTGCAAGGTCGGTACGTAAATGTTTGCCTCCATAGATAAGTTACATAAATACTTCACTACGTAGAAGTTTATAAAACACCAGTTTATAAGGCACCAGGTTGTCAAAAATGTTATTTTAAAATTCAATTCGAAAGAAATAAACGTAAAAAAATATTTATTTAATTCTTGTTTTCTGATATTTATTCGATAAAACTAAATGCCATGTAAAAATAAATAGTGTAAAACTTCCTAAAATAACATAAATATAATGTTTGATTATTATACTTCTTTGTTTCATTTCTGTTCAAAATGATTATTTATTCCTTATATACCTATGTATGTATATATTTCAATGATGATAACAAACATCAAAAAAATCGATATGTCGTACATAAGTTTTGATGTTTTTAATGAGCGATGTTGCGTCCTATAGGTGTGCTTACTTGGAAAAAATACGACTCGAGTTAAATCAAGATCAAATTCACACAATTCGAACTAAACTAGAGTTACGCAACTAGAGTTAGCAGGACGAAACACAGTAAATGATTTGTTACAATTACTTTAAAAATATCGATTCAATAAATATATATACTTTTTTCACTTGTCCATCCCTATGACTGAGTAAGGGCGTAAAATCAGGGTAGTGTAATAACTGATGTCCCTAACTAGGGGCCACGCCCACCCTTCATTCAGGGCCCTGATTCAGGGTGGTGTAAATAGGTGGTGCATTAGGCCAAGATAAAAAAAAAAAAAAAATTATCGATTAGCTACCCATACAAAAATTAAAACCTCCAATCCATATGAAAATATAAACCATCGATTATATTCAACAAAGCTTTCTCTGCTTATACGATATTTATAAATCGTGAAGGTAAGGCAGGACCTTGATAAAGCTGTGTAACGGCAGTGAAAAAAGCATTCACTATCTCCTGTTTATATAGGTTGTCGTGATCTAGCGACAAAAGAGAAGGCAGACCTCGGTCGAGCCACTGTTATATCACTATACTACTTTACATGCTAAACTCACGCGCAGCTATAATAGTCGTAGCACGAATGGGTCGGCTTGACCAGGGTAGGACCACGCTCTCACAGAATACCAGCATACAATTGCAACTTAAGGCTGCTGTGTTTTGAATGGTGAGTGTAGAGAACCAATGACCTTTTTTACTAGAAACGAGGTATTCCATGTTAGTCCTCATGGGTGACAACGTATCTGCATCTTGATTCTTAATCGAGGACCAATGTACATGTCTATGGGCCACACCATCCACTTACCATCAGGTGGCCTGTGTGCTCGTTTAGCACCCCTATTCTATAAAAAATAAACTACCATAGCAGTGCCCACTGCGGATTCGTAAGGGACGAAAGAGAGCAGTTGCCGCGCGAGTGACAAATACGTCGACTACGCTGGAGTGAGCGGGACGTAGCGGCGATCGGGGCATGTCGAGCTCTCCTGCCCTCCTGTAACAGCCAATGCGGTTCCAGAGCAACCGGCTTTCTCGGATGTATGCGCGTGCAATGACGTCACGTCCCCTACTATCATCACTCGACCGTCGCGTGCAAAGACGAGCCTATCAAAACATAGTGCGCGAGTGTCGCGAGTTAATGTGTCAAACTCAAAAGCAAATTGTGGACTAGTGGTAAGGGACAGTAACTCGGAGTGTAGAGCCTGGCGCGATCATTTTCGAGCACGGCTTCCGGCAAGTACTTGTAATACGGCAATTTCCGATCCACGAGACCGTATTTCAGAGCGAGCTCCTGGTGAAGAATTCTGGCTACTAGGTTGTGCCTGTGCAAGTACTCAGAGTTAGAAAGCGCCGAACAACCGGAGATGACATGCCTAAGTGACTCAACGGGATGGCGACAAGCTCGACAGATGTCCACGGTGCCATCCTTTAGGATGTATCTCCGATAGTTGTTGGTCTTAATAACCTGATCCTGTATTCATCATCATCATCATCATCATCATTACAGCCCTTCACAAGTCCACTGCTGAACATAGGCCTCCCCCAAGTAATGCCACAAAGCACGGTCCTGAGCCACCTGCATCCATCGACTTCCTGCATGTCTTACCAGGTCGTCACTCCATCTAGTGGGGGGTCGCCCTACACTACGCCTACCGGTACGAGGCTGCCACTCGAGAACCTTTCTTCCCCATCGGTTATCGGTTCTTCGAGCTATATGGCCGGCCCATTGCCACTTCAGCTTACTAATCCGTTGGGCTATGTCGGTCACTCTGGTTTTACTGCGGATATCCTCATTTCTGAGTCTATCACGCAGAGAAACTCCGAGCATAGCCCTCTCCATAGCTCGCTGAGCGACCTTAAGCGTCCTCATACGGCCAGCAGTGAAGGACCACGTCTCAGATCCGTAAGTCATCACTGGCAACACGCACTGGTTGTACAATCTAGTTTTTAGAGATTGAGGTATACCTGACGAAAAGATATGCCGTAATTTCCCGAACGCTGCCCAGCCGAGTTGAATCCGTCGATTGACCTCTCGGTCGAAGTTGGACTTACCTAGTCGGACTATTTGTCCCAGGTAAACGTATTCGTCAACAACTTCGAGCATAGTGCTCCCAACAACTACCGGCATAGGTGTGACATGGACATTGAACATGATCTTTGTTTTGTCCATGTTCATCTTAAGACCTATCCGTTGGGAGGCACTATTGAGGTCATTGAGCATAGTGCTTAAGTCCTCCAGCGATTCTGCCATAAGGACTACATCGTCGGCAAATCGAAGGTGAGTGATGTACTCGCCATTGATGTCAATACCGTATCCTTTCCAGTCCAGTAGCTTGAAAACATCTTCCAATGCAGCGGTGAAGAGTTTCGGGGATATAACGTCACCCTGTCTTACACCTCTCTGCAGTTGGATAGGTTTCGAGCTCTGGTTCTGTACTCGGATAGCCATCGTAGCCCTACTGTACAAACACTTCAGCACTTCGATATACCGACAGTCAACTTGGCACCGCTGAAGGGACTGTAGCACCGCCCAAATTTCGACGGAATCAAAGGCTTTCTCATAGTCCACATACGCCAGGCAAAGTGGCAAATTGTACTCTTCCGTCTTCTGTACAATCTGCCGCAGGGTATGTATGTGGTCTATGGTACTGAAGCCTTTTCGGAAACCGGCTTGTTCGGGAGGCTGGAAGTCGTCAAGTCTGCGTGCGAGACGATTCGTAATGACTCTCGAAAACAGCACGTAGACGCGGCTCAGAAGGGAAATCGGTCTGTAGTTCTTTAAGAGAGCGTTGTCGCCTTTCTTAAAGAACAAGACCACCGCACTTCTGCTCCACGCCTCTGGAGTAGTGCCACCATAGAGGACGGAATTGAAGAGCTTCTGAAGGACTTCAAGTACCGGTGTTCCACCCGCTTTCAGAAGCTCCGCTGTAATTCCATCCTCGCCTGGGGCCCTGCCGTTTTTAAGGTGCTGGAGAGCCATTCTAATCTCGCTTAGACTGACGTCCGGGATATCATCGGAATAGTGTCGGATAAGACTTGCTCTTGGATCGTTACTCACACTTGCGTGTGGCTCCAACGATGATGTGTACAGCTGCCCATAGAACCTCTCAATCTCACTCAAAATCTCAGGTGTCCCGGAAACGATGTTGCCACACTCAGTCTTCAGCCTTGACAGTTGGCTCTTTCTGGCAGACAGATCTCTGGCAAAGACTTTGGAGCCCTGGTTCCGCTCGATCGCTTCTTTAATACGAGAAGTATTAAAGTTGCGTAAGTCTCGCCGTATGCATTTGGAGATCTGTCTGTTCAGTTGCCTGTATGCTGTCAAATCTGTTGACGATTGCAGCCTCATCTCCCGTCTAACAGCCATGAGATTAAGAGTGTGATCGGAGAGTTTTTGTGTTCTTCTGCGGCGGGTCTTGCAGAACTTAGCTCCGACCGCATGGACAGTTTCCACGAGCTTGTCGTTCATATCGTCCACTGCATTGCAATCTTCTAGGCACTGGAAGCGGTTACGTAACTCGAGCTGAAAGGTTTCGGGATTCTGGATTAGAGCACGAGGGGGGACGGAGCGTTGACTTCATTAGACGAGACCTCTCCAACTTAACGTTTAGGTTCAGAGTGCCTCTAACCATTCGGTGATCGCTGCCAGTTTTCACCCTTGCGATCACTGAGACATCACTGAACAGTTGGCGTCTGGTCGTCATAATGAAGTCAATCTCATTTTTTGTCGAACCGTCGGGGCTCGACCAGGTCCACTTCCTGTGGGGCCGCTTCTGGAAGAAAGAGTTCATCATAAAGAGTCCCTCTTTCTCCATAAAGTCGGCCAGCTGCTGGCCCCTTCGGTTCCGTTGCCCTACTCCAAATTTCCCTACCTTCAGCTCACCGCTTTCTCTTGTGCCCAGTTTTGCGTTGAAGTCTCCCATCAACACCGTGTAGTAGGTTTTGGAGGAATGTATGGCTCTGGAAATATCCTCATACATTTCCTCTACCTCCTCATCGGGATGTGCCGAGGTTGGTGCGTAAACCTGAATGACCTTCAGCGAATACCGTTTGGTGATTCTGAGTATCAGGTACGCGACCCTCGTCGACACACTCCCAATCTTTACAACGTTGTTGACGAGAGATTTGTGGACGATAAATCCGACACCTCCTTGGGACAGATGGTCGCCCTCCCGGTGATAGAACAAGTTGCCGGACTCGAGGATTGCCGTGTCCTCCCCCTCTCTTCGGACCTCGGATAATCCAATAATATGCCAGCGCAACTTGTCTACCTCTTCTTCCAGCTCCAGTATCTTCTCGTCAGTCCTCAGGGTGCGTGCGTTATATGTTGCCAGGTCGAGTCGTCGTAGGTGGCAACCGAACCTCCACCGGAGATTCTTAGCACCCCCTGCCCCGCCGTTACCATGGTCGCCACCGTAGCCAGGAATAGCGGGGCCGCCGGGGACTGGGGGCCGTCTGTTTGTGTATTTATTCATTGGGGGGTATTTGCCATAGTTGCCACGCTTGGCGAGCGGGTTGGCAACCGCAGTTTTTTATTACGTCATAGTTGTCATCAGGAAGACGCTGCTGCCCATCTCCTGCCTGTCTCCCTCTGTCGCCTCTTACGACACCCACGGGAAGATATGGGGTAGTGGATATTCTTAACCGCCACTACACGGCATCCGGATTGCACAGACAAAACCCTCTGTTTCCCCGAAGAGATCACCAAAGCGTAGCCAGTGGAGGGAGGCTACTGTGTCTACGAAAGGCTCATGTAGAGCCTTGTAGAACCTCCCGTGGAGCTCCTTCTCCTTCCATACGTTCTCCCGGTCGGAAATTGTCTGCACTGCCGGGTCTTGCCATTGCTCGTTGGCTAAGGATAGAGGGGTAAGTCCTTTATCACTAGAAATGACGTCCTTATAGAATGGATCATCCGATCTCGCCAGGAAGTAATTACGGAGGCTGCACACTTCGCGATTATGCATGGTGAGCGCGCTCAAGAAGACACGCCCACCATGCTTTCGCGGCAAGTACAGCCTCATTACCGACGATCTCGGATGATGCATCCTGTGGGACGTCATGGTAGTGCGGACTTTTCTATCCAGGGCGTTAAGTTCAGTCTGAGTCCACCTGAGTATGCCAAAGGTATACATGAGGACAGGCATGACCCAGCCGTTATATGCGTGTGTCTTATTCACACCGGACAAAAGGCTGTTAAGCACTTTGGTCAAGCGTGCATAAAACACGTCGCAAACTGACTGTTTCATACCAGCCTCATCGATACCGATGTTCTGTGACATACCCAGGTATCGGTATGTTTCAGCCTCGGAAAGGGTCCTTAAGTTAACGGGCATAGATAAGTCTATGTCCTCAGAGTTAGCAACCCTCCCCCCTTTCAACATGGAGGACCGCACACTTATCCGTTCCCAGCTCCAATCCAATAGAATTGCTAAATTCACAAGTGATGTTTAGCAATTCCATAAGATGGGAGCGACTGGAGGCGAATAACTTGAGGTCATCCATATAGAAAAAGGTGGGTCACTTTTGTACCTCCTTTCCGAAGCTGAAATCCCCTCCCGGAGCCCTCCAGTAAAGTACTGAGAGGGTTCAGGGAGAGGCAGAACCAGATTGGACTCAGACAATCGCCCTGGAAGATACCCCTTCTTATCCTTATGTGGTTCTCCGCAGCCATCATCCGCTCGCCCAGATAGCAAAGGATCGTACTCCATTGCCCCATACACTGCTCGAGGAAGTCTCCAACTGTACAGTCAATTTTGTACAGCTGGAGGACTCTCTTTAGCCATGTATGGGGCACTGAGTCGAATGCCTTTCTGTAGTCTATCCAGGCGGCGGAGAAATTCCGACGGTTGCGTTTCACCACTTTGCCAATGACCGCGTCAATGAGGAGTGGTTCCTTGGTTCCACGACCACCGCCCCGGCATCCATTTTGAGCGCGTGACATCACCTGATTTAGCTCCAGGTGACGAGTGATTCTCGCGCTCAAAATGGATGTCAGTGTCTTATATATGGTGGGTAGACACGTGATGGGGCGGTATTTGCTCGGGTCTGTGGTATCCTGATCTTTAGGAACCAAATGAGTGATCCCAGTAGTGAAGAGGCTTGGGAGCGACTTCTGGTCGAGAGCCTCTTGAAACTGTCGGGCGAGCACAGCGTGACACACTACGAACCCCTTCAGCCAGTAATGATGCAGCCCGTCGAGCCCCGGACTTTTCCAGTTCGGGGCCCTACGTATCGCCTCAGCCACGTCTTCAGGCGTTATGGTGACGGGGTCCATAGGCGTAACACTTGCACTCTGGCTCGCCACAACTTCCATCCAAGGGCCCTCGCTGTGGTTTACGGGCTCTGACCACAGGCCACGCCAAAATGCGACGGTGTCAGCCTGATCCGGTCCTGGGCCCGCTCCACATACCTCTGGTCGCTCCAATGATTTATAGAGCCTCTTCTGATCACTCTGGAAGAGACGATTCTGGTTGAACCGCCTTGACCTCTCGCTAAATCGTCGAATCCGCTTCCCCCAAGCAGCGATTTTTTGCTTCAGGTCATCTATGCGCTCCGTTAGTTTTTGCGTGATATCCGGCTGGAACAAACTGATATTTGTCCCAGCAAATGCCATCCTAAAGGTGCGCATAATCCTCGGTCTATTATTACCCGACCTGAAGCTTGTCAGTCTGCCGATAAGGGCCCTTGCCTTTGCGATACGGTCCTCAATTCTTTTTCTCCAGGCTGGGATGGCGCTACTTTTTTGAGTAGCACGTCCAGCCACGGGAAGTTTGGCGCCAATAATACGGCATACTGCCAGTGCGGCGCCAAAAAGAATTGAATCCGTCTCGCAAAGGTCCCGGCTGGCTTCCAAATAGGTCACCAGCATTGGGTTAAGAGCCCGCACGACAGCCCGATTTCGCTTGCTAAGGGGTATGCGGGGGAAGTCGCGGTCGATTTTCGAGAGGCATGCTGCGCGTTTCCAGCATCGACTCTTCCAATATGCTCCTCATTTTCTCTAGTTCGTGGGAGACTATTCCATCATCGTCTGAATTAGCCACAAATGGAATGTTGACGGCAGCATCCACATATGCAGTTTGTTGCGCATCTAGTTTTTTTTTTTTATAGAAGAGGGGGCAAACGAGCATGTGGCTCACCTGATGTTAAGTGACTACCGCCGCCCATGATCAACCGCAACACCAGGGGAATTGCAGGTGCGTTGCCGGCCCTTTAGAAAGGAGTAAGCTCTTTTCTTGAAGGTCCCCAGGTCGTATCGGTCCAGAAAAATCACCGGTGGTAAATTATTCCACAGAGAGGTTGTACGCGGAAGAAAACTCCTTTTGAAACGTACAGTGGTGGACCGCCAAGCATCCAGATGGTGTGGATGGTATCGGGACGTTTGCCGTGTAGTGCGTTCACGAAATTTGGCGGCTGGGATTAATCCGAACAATTCCTCAGAGCACTCCCCGTGATAGATGCGATAAAATACGCAAAGAGATGCAACATCTCTTCGCAGCGCCAGTGAATCGAGCCGATCGGAAAGCACTCGGTCATCGACGATTCGAGCCGCTCTGCGCTGGATGCGGTCAAGTGGAAGGAGCTGGTACTGGGGAGCCCCAGCCCAGAGATGGGAACAGTATTCCATGAGCGGCCGAACCTGCGCCTTGTAAAGTTGCAGGCGGTGTGCCGGCATGAAATATTGTCCCGCTCTGCTGAGCACGCCAAGCTTTTTAGAGGCCAATTTGGCCTTCCCTTCCAAGTGACCACGAAACTGCACGTCACTCGATATGTCGACGCCGAGGATTCCGATACTGGCTGAGGCAACAAGGGGAGTGCCTTGAAACTGAGGAGATACGACAAAGGGGTTCTTTTTAGCGGTTAACGCGCAAACTTGTGTCTTCTGGGGGTTATACTGGACTAGATTTAGTCGCCCCCAATCCGAGACTCTATCCAGCAGAGACTCGACTTCAGACACAAGTTTGTCCCGGCACTCAGAGACGTTTTCCCGAGAAATATTGGCTCGGCCGGTGTAAAGAGCATCACCAGTACTGTCATCTGCATAGCAATGAATGCTACGGGTTTGCAACATATCATTGATATGCAGAAGAAACAGCGTTGGCGATAGCACGCAGCCCTGTGGAACACCAGCATTAATAAGCTTGCAATCGGAGCTTGCACCGTCTACAACGACCTTGATGCTCCGATCTGCAAGAAAACTGGTGATCCAATCGCACAATTTCTCGGGAAGCCCATAGGAAGGGGAGCTTCGAAAGAAGCGCTTTGTGCCAAACCCGATCGAAGGCCTTCGCAATGTCCAAACTAACGGCCAATGCCTCCCCCTTGGACTCTACTGCCTCCGCCCATCTGTGAGTTAGGTAGACCAGAAGATCACCAGCTGACCTACCACGGCGAAAACCGTATTGGCGGTCACTAATCAGCTGGTGATCCTCAAGGTACCTCATGAGCTGGCAGTTTACAATGGACTCCATTGTTTTGGAGAACAAGGAGGTGATGGCGATAGGCCGGTAGTTGGACGGGTCTGAGCGGTCGCCTTTTTTTAGGGATCGGGTGGACGAAAGCCGTCTTCCATGATTTTGGGACTACGCCTAGGGAGTAGGAGTACCGGAAAAGACGCGTTAAAACCGGTGCCAACTCTGGAGCACACGTCCTCAGCACAATTGGGGGGATTCCATCAGGCCCACTCGACTTATAGATGTCCAGGGAGAGGAGTGCTTTGCGAACCGAGCGCTGAGTGAACTGCACTTCCGGCATGGAGCACTCACACCGCGGGATGGTCGGCGGCGTACTCCCCCCGTCATCGAGAGTCGAGTTAGACGCAAAGAAAGAGCCTAGAAGATCGGCTTTCTCCTTTGCGGTGTGGGCCAGTGAGTCGTCCTCCCTGTGCAGAGATGGAAGAGATGGCTGACAGAAATTCCCCTGGACAGCCTTGGCGAGAGACCAGAATGCACGGGTTCCAGAAGGAAGACGAACTAGTCTCTCGCCAATTCTGGTGGTCTAGTGGCGCCGCATTCCCAGCCGTAGCATTTCCATTCGATGAAGGAATAGCCTCACGTCGTAGTCGCTCGAGTTCGGCGTCACCAAATATGTTGGAGCGCAGGATGTACCTAACTCGGTCTGCCAGGTTTTGCTCAGTGACGGATAGAGATGGCTCCAGCTCTGCAAAAAAAGCGATGCATCCGAGCCCGATACGCCAAACATCCAGTTTCTTCCCCTTTTGCCCTAAAATACGCCCGCAGTGCGTTTTCATTCATTGATTTAGACCAACGCATGCTACGTGCTCCACCAGCGGCGGGTGCCGCTTGCTGAGTCCGAGAAGACCCAGCCGACACCAAGCCTTCTGGTGGGGATGATGGATGCGAGGGGCTGCTAGGTGGTCTTGCAACACCCCGCGCTCGGCTGGCGGCCCGCATGCTGTCGCGTCCAGCGCCAGCTCCAGACGCGCCCTGGTGACCTCCAGGCAGCGGCCCTTTGCGCACTATCTTTTTCTCCATCATCCATAATATGGGCGTCCATTAACGGGAGACGCCCAGGCCCGGCACCGTATCGTGGACGGCCATAAGCACAAACGGGCCTTTGCACCCTGAATTCTGCCGAGGCACGGCGCTCACACCTCTCGCAAGGCGCTGACTGACTGCGTTGACGTAGCAGTTTTGTCACTTAACTGTTACGTCAGCGGGCGATGGGGTCGTCAATTCCCTACGCCATTATTATTATTATTATAGTACCCTCAGTGAACGTTCCGTGACACAAACCCAATGTCGATTAAACAAACACAGTTATTATTCCTTGTGAAACCCAAACTAAGTATAAGGATACTCTGGCAGAAATATACTGATTGAATTAAAGTAGTTAGTAGGATATTCTGCATCATTCCACTACGTTTTGTTGTAAGATGTCAGATGAAGTTACCATAAACTTTCGTTAATATAAATAAGTACATATTACGAACCGAATTAACAAAAAAATCTTAATTTTACTAAGTCATAGACAACTAAAGGAATTTATTGACAACGTTTTTTCTTTCCCTAATGGCAATCAATAGAGGTGTCTATGGATAACGATTTCTATTTACGCGAATACTGCACATTGATTAAAACTACTTTTACGGATTTTATCGCGTTTAATTTTACTTTTAATTACTTTTATTTTTAATGCCCGACGTTTCGAGTCACGGGGGACTGAGATGACTGACGTCCCGATGTCATTGTTAAACCCGGAGTACCTTCAGCTTTTTTAATTATTGTTTATGGTCCGATCTATGCAAAATGAACTGACTATGTCCTGAGGTCTTGCAGTGGTATGCTTGGGTTTAGTTTTAATTTTATTGATTATAGGATCCAAAGCAGGTGATAGTACCCAGCCTCCTTCTCTATTGAAATTAGGATGTTTTTTAATTTCAATAGCCTCACGTATCATCCTTGGTAGGAATCGGTGTTCTTTCGCGAGGATTTATGGTCTATCAAATCTGATGTAAAGTTTGGGGCCGTCTAGGATATGATCACAAACTGCAGACTTCCCGGAACGTTGATGCTTCACATCAGCTATATGTTCTTTTACGCGGATTCTCATTGATCTTTTTGTCTGTCCTATATAAGAGAGACCACATTCACAATCAAGCTTGTACACTCCTGCATCTTGTAGAGGAATATGACACTTGACGGATGGTAGGAACTGACTAATCTTCTTCGGCGGATTATAGAATGTTCTAATAGAAGCTCGCTTCAAGATGTAGCCAATCTTGTCTGTGACACCTCTGATATATGGCAGTACAGCAGACATACGCTCGACTGTGGCCGGCTTCACTCGGTCACTGTGACGTAGGCGGGGGACCCGAAGCTTGTTGTCGTGCAGAACTTGCTTGACGTACTGAAGCTCGGTGGCCAGGTGTTTGCTGTCACAGATCCCTCGTGCTCTCTGTAACAAATATTTGCCCACGGTAGCTAACTGTGAAGGATGATGGTGATATTCACCGTTTAAATATCTCTAGGTCTTTTTCCTATACACAGTGTGACCAATGGTGTTGTTAGGATTTCGGATGACTAACACATCCAGGAAAGGTAAGGAATTATGGAGTTAGAGGCAAATAATTACTTACCTTGTCTTCTAAGTTGAATCATTAAAAACTAGGTTCACATCTTAAAGTTTCTTTTTAAACAGCTCTAACGAACATTTTAAAATCAAAGGAAGCAATTAAAAACTAATAACAATAATAAACCAGAGCCATGTACCATCATCATTTACGTTAATGCGTCACTAATTTTATGATCAATTTCGTAATTAACACAACCAAAACATACAAGCCTCGGGAACCTCACGAGTAAACTCCTCTAACGCCACGGCCCTCTTGGCCGAACAGCAATCACAGCTGTATTCTCATACGTGCATCCATCCACGGTTCACCGTGACGTTCACCCGCTGACGACACCAGAGCTAAACGCGCATCGCGCACCCACGGACTACTCGAGTTAACTCAAGAGACACCGATTTCCACCAGGCTACGACTACGTAATAGCTACTGGTACGGTCGACATCAATATGGCCGATAGAGTATTTACTCAAATTCCCAGATCACTTAGGCTTCCTGAATATTATTAAAATTATCGCGTACTTCCACAATGTCTGTTACATGACCTACTGGCATCTTTCTTAACCTATCGTGTGCGTATAAATTTATAAGTAAGTTTAAAATTTAAAGCTTTTAACGTGTAACAATCACCATCCAAAATTCTTACCACCCTAAACGGACGTTTGAACTTCGGATTTAACTTAGTTTGATTCTGCTCTTCATTTTATAATAACACAAAATCATTAATAGCTAAATTAGAAACCTGAGCCTTATTTCGGTCAAATCGAGTTTTATCATAGTTT